AATATTATATATATATATATATAGTTGTTTAATAAAATAGTCATGCATTTTTTCATAAACTTAATTAAGTGAAAATTTAAATTATGCATGTAAAAGTTATGTTTTTAATCGCTTTCCTTCATTTTTTTAATAGATATAAATTAAAAATTATCAAAGAAATTAAAATTGATATACATTTAATATCTAAATATGAAATTAATTATAATATTTAGTGTAATTAACATATTGAAATTAAGAATTTAATTATAAGTTTTTGAAATAAATTAAAATAATACGATATTAAAAGGTATGTGTGATGTCATGATATCCCCTAGTATAATATAAAGAATTCAAAAGTAGAGTGTGAAATACTTATTGCAATGTTTTTAAATTATAAGGATCTTTTTAATATATTTTTAATTGTAGGGACTCAACTAAAAACATTGAGAAAACTATAAGGCATACAAATTGATTTAAGTATTTTTTTTTTGCAAATTCAATAACTTGTGAACAAATAATTAACTATTGAATTTTTTTTTATAACTATGATATTATGAAGTATTCATCATTTGTTTTGATAACCGGTCTTCATAAGAGAAACTTGTTACCAATCTAAAGTGGGTTCCTTGTCTCAATCACATAATTTTCATATACAAACTTCAAACCTTATTTTAAGAGGAATGAGTCTCGTGCACCGACATATCAATATTAATTATTGGATTGTTCGATGTTATTTTAATAAGACACTGAAATTGATGCAATTTTTACCTAATTTTTAAGTATAGATTCAATACTTGATGTTTTCTTGTTACAAACTGCACAGTTTACGAGTAATATAGAAATATGAAAGTTTTATATCCTTAATTAATACAAAACTTAAACAAACCTTTTTAAATATATATTGTGTAACATTTAGAAACCAAAACATTAAAAAATATATATAAGATTTTTAAACTCAACTAACTATAATTTTTTTTTTATAAAGATGAATATGTTATTATAATTTTATTTTTATTTAATATCATTCCAATAACTTATAAACTTGTCATCATTTCAAAATAATAACTTTCTAAAGACAGTTTTTTTTGAAATAATAATAATAATAATACATAGATGTTTAGTGAAAAGTGAATACCATAACTTTCAATATATATATATATATATATATATATATATGCATATCCTTCAAAGAATAAATTGTATAAGTCATAAGAAAATATCACAAATTTTTTCGCTTCGATCAACCTTTACATGTTGTATTTTTTCTAAGTTTAGGTAATTTATTTCATATTGTTTTTTTGGCATGTTTTTTCAAAACAAAGGGTAAAACATTTGTCCAAATTTCATATAAATTTTATGTTGAAATTTCAAATAACAAAAGTATGGAATTGAATTGAAATGATAAAAATTATATTGAATTTAAAAGAAGTTTGTCTAAATTAAATTGAATTACACATTAATTTAAATAAATTAAACTGAATTGTTTTTTTTTATTGAACTAAATACAATTGTATCATAAAAGTTTGAACTAAATTGTATATATTGAATTATTACGATAGTTTGAATTGAATTATTTTGACATGTTGACGTTAAGACAAGATCAATTCATTAAATTTATTCTATTTTATTTTTATTTAAATCTTAAAAAAAATTAAAAAAAAGGCTAAATAGACTATATAATTTTTAAGCCTAAATATTAGTGGCCAAACATAATTTCATTAACTCATTGGGCTCGGCCAAATTTACATGATTTTTTAAGATCACTTTTTTTTCGAAATTCAGACCATTAAGTTATTGAGATAATCTATTAAGATGAATCATTTAATATTTCCTTTTTTTATAAAAATAGTTCAATATTTATAATTTATTTTAATTTTTAAATAGTTTAGTTCAGTTTTTAAAAAACAATTAATTACAATTATTTTATAAACAATTTATTTTTTTATATACATTTTAGTTTGCCAACAATTTAATTAAGTTCAATTTTTTTCCATCTCTAATTATAAGTGAGGGCTCTAATGTTGAGTTGTTAGGTTAATATTAAGTCACTTAAAAAGGTTGTGAAGAAAAAAGAGTAGGGTGAATTATTTATTTAAGAGTAGCATTACTAAAACTCAAACTCAAACTTTAAGTTAACCAATAATAAATGATTTGTAATTAATTTTGTAATGAAAAAGTTATATATATATAATATAAAATAAAATAAATTTGATATATGACTCTTTTATTAAAAAAAAAATTCTTCAAATTTTACCTTAAGTCTCATTATTCATTATTAGATAAGCCCCGTATAAAAGTAGGAATTGTCAGTTAGAAGTAGAGAAGAGGAGGGGAAAGTGTGACACCCTCTACCCCAACACATTAATAAACATAAATCATCAAGGGTCACCGCCTTCATCATTATCTTGTCAACCCCCAGATTCCTAAGAAGTTTGCAACCCTTGCTGACCGAGATGCTGGTCGCATCTCTGAATCCTATCTTGCCTGGGAATAGCAAGACCAATTACTACTTTCTTGGTTACAATCCTCCATGTCTAAAGACATGCTTACACGAGTTATCGGTTGCAAATCCTCCTTCCAGCTTTGGGACAAAATTCACTCATACTTTCACTCCCATATGAATGCCAAAGCCCGCCAATTGCGCAATGAACTTCGCAATACAAGTCTTGAAAATCAGACAATCTCTGAATATGTGCTTCGAATTCAAACCCTAGTTGATGCCCTCACAGCCATCGGCGACTCTGTTTCTCCAAAGGAACACCTTGATATAATTCTTGAAGGCTTACCCGAAGAATACGAATCCACCGTGTCTCTCATCAGTAGCCGTTTTGACCTTCTGACCATAGATGAAGTCGAGACCTTGCTTCTTGGCCATGAATCCCGTCTTGACAAGTTCAAGAAGAAAGTCGCTGCCTCCATTAATGTCACCACCACCACCCCTGAACCCAATCTGTCTGTCACGAACCCACAAGCACATCTTGCCCATCAAGAAAACCAATCTGCCTTTTCTCAACGTCGAGGGGGTCGCACCAATTTTCGTGGTGGCTGTTTCTCCAACCGGGCAGGCCGTGGACGAGGCAGATTTGCTGGGTACCAATGTCAAGTCTGCCATAGGTACGGACATGTTGCTTCTGCCTGCTATTATCGTTTTGATGAAACCTATGTTCCATCCTCACCTCTTGAAGCACCCGCGTACCACTCTACCAACCAACATGCAAACACAAGCGTGTGGTATAGCAATCAACCTGCTTCTTCTTCTCTTCATCAAAATGGCATTCTTGGGCCTAGACCTCAATTTACTCCTCAAGTCCAATTCACCTCCACCCAGGCGCAACCTCAAGCCATGATTGCATCGTCCTCCTCTTCAAGCAACAACAATTGGTATCCGGATTCTGGGGCATCAAATCATGTTACCAATGTCTCTCAAAATATTCAACAATTTACTCCTTTTGAAGGACCCGATCAAATCCATGTTGGTAATGGACAAGGGCTTCACATTAACTCCACAGGTGTTACCACCTTTCATTCTCCAATCAACCCTAAGTTTCAATTTGCTCTAAACAATCTTCTATTTGTGCCCTCCATCACAAAAAATCTAATCAGTGTTAGTCAATTCTCCAAGGATAATTCTGTATATTTTGAATTTCACCCCTACATTTGCTTGGTCAAATCACAGGACACTCATCACTGAATGCAGAACTTGCCAGAGAGTATCTGGAGAAAGTGGCAGATCTTCTGCTTGAGTTTGCACAAGCAGACACAACAGTGAAATATTTCATGTGTAGCCAAAGCTTGCTCAGTCGGCTTTTCCAGATGTTTAATAGGGTGGAGCCTCCTATTTTGTTGAAGGTGTGACACAAACATATCTTTTGATAATTTAGCTTATGTCAGTCCTACTACTATAGTTTCTGACCATTTATGTACTGGCCTATATTCTAGATACTGAAGTGTATTAATCATCTGTCAACTGATCCAAATTGCTTAGAAAATCTTCAGCGTGCTGAAGCAATTAAATACTTGATACCAAATCTTGAACTCAAAGAAGGGTCCCTTGTTTCAGAGATACATCATGAGGTACGTCTTTCTCAGCTTATATTTCTCATATAATTTTCAGTACCATGCTTTCTCAGCTTCTGTTTGTATTATGTTCAAATTGATTTAGCACTGGTCATGTAGTAACTGCAATGTTCTTTAACTATGAACAAAAAATAAACAATTGGGTGCAGAAAGTACCGTGTATATCATGTTGTGTAGTTAGTTACTTTCTAATCAAATATATTATGGGATTTTGGACTTCATTGATTTCATTTCTCTGTTTTTGATTTTCTAGATTGGTGTAATTTCTGTAATTGTTGTTGTCCTTTCTTTGTCTTGCTTGGTGGTGGTAGCTATCTAAAATTGGCTTGAATCTCATCTTTCATTTTCCTTTCTATAGGTGTTGAACGCACTATTCAATTTATGCAAGATAAATAAGAGGAGACAAGAACAAGCAGCTGAAAATGGAATCATTCCCCATTTGATGCAATTCATCACATCAAATTCTCCCTTGAAACAATATGCATTGCCACTGTTATGTGACATGGCTCATGCATCTCGCAATTCAAGGGAGCAGTTAAGGGCTCATGGTGGTTTGGATGTCTATTTGAACCTTCTTGAGGATGAGATCTGGTCTGTTACAGCACTAGATTCTATTGCTGTTTGTTTAGCCCATGATAATGACAACAGGAAGGTTGAACAATCATTGCTGAAAAAGGATGCAGTTCAAAAGCTTGTGAAGTTCTTCCAGTGCTGTCCAGAGCAGCATTTTGTACACATATTGGAGCCATTCTTGAAAATCATCACGTATATGATTCTAATTCCCTTCTCCTCAATTGTCCCATTATTTAAGTATTTGATTGTGTCATTCAATGCTTCAACTATTTGATAAATTATTATTGCATGGTTAGGTCATAAACAAAGTGTTACTGAAGTGGGAATAGGTGTAGGCAACATGTAAGATATAAAAAATATTTCATTTAATTATATGGTAGCATATAATTATATGGGAAAAATAAGTTATAATGGGGGCTGTTAGAATAGTGGATTAAGCCTAACTCAACCCTACAAAACCGGCTTGTAAGGTGAGGGTTGCTTTCCACTTATATACTATTCAATTGCCTAATCTCTAGTCGATGTGGGACTTGGGTTTTTCCCAATAGGGGCAATGGGAATGTTTCTTAGCATATCTTTCCTTGCATTGTCCCACTCCCACCCTTTCAGCCAAATAATGTATGGGAATTGTAAGATAAAAACACTGTTTAAGGTGTTTGCCCCAGACATTGCATAAGGTCGGTTGAATGGATGGGCTGAATTTATCTGACCTGCGTAACAGATTTTATGATTTATCATGTTTCACGAATCACGAGGCTTGGCAGTCCTAAGTAACTTGGTTATAGGCAATCTTAGACAGTGAAAAATGGATTACTGCAATTTTAGAGAGATGCATGAGGAAAAGCCTAAAGGGTCGCATCTGTAACTAGATAACCAGCAATAAAAACCTTTACATTGGATAGCTTGGTGTTCTGATGGTCCTTGCTTTATTGACTGCAACTTCATTATTTATTATTGCTGTCATTGCTACCCTAATAAGGAAAAGTTGATATCAATAATTATGGATACTGCTCTTAGATTGCACAAGGAATAATGCTGATTTATTTAACATATAGTCTGTTTGGATACAAGTTAGAAGCATTTTTTAAAGTTTCTCTACTAAAAATAAATAATATTTTTTAGTAAAGAAGTTCTCAAAAATACTTTTAAGCTTGTATGTAATCAGGTTTATTGTAGAGTTCAATTGTCTAATAGTATCCCTGAGAATTTGATTTGGCCTTTAGTCAAGTCATCGTGTGATCCATATATCTGGTCTCACTTAGTGAAATAAGACTTTTATTGTTGTTGTCATAAAGTTCAACTGTTTAAGTGATGTTGGGGATGGGTTAATTAGGAGGCAATTGAGTTTTTTGGTTCTTCCTAGTCAAAATTCTCCTTTTTTTATAAAAGATTATTTCGAAGCAAGGAAGAGATTACAAGTAAGATATCTTCCTAGGAGAAGAAAATATCAGAAAACCATATACGCGGTAGTGCTCTCTTGCTAGAAGTACCTAGAGATCTTTATCACTTGATTACGTGATGTTTGATGCTACTGCAGTTGTTAGAATATCATTTTTATTTTTATTTTTATTTTTATATCCAAATGCTATCATTCTCAGTTTCGTTTCTACTGGAATTTTATGTAATGTGTCATCACTTAACTGTATGCAGAAAATCTGCAAGGATCAATACCACATTGGCTGTTAATGGATTAACGCCATTGCTCATTGCAAGGCTAGATCATCAGGATGCTATAGCTCGTCTTAATTTGCTCAGGCTAATAAAGGTAAGGATGCATATATGGTATATGTTAATTCATGCTAAAAACTCTGGTGGGTAATACCACACCTCCCATAGTATGGTTAATCAGGTTGTGTTGCCTAATAAAGAGATGTCAAAATTTTCATTCATCAAAAACTAAAAAGTGAATGAACAAAATGGCGTAGAAGATTTTTATAATTAGTAAGAAAGATTACATAGTGGCAATGAAGATTGAACTTAAGTTTTCATATATCTAGTGGTTGCCATACAAGATTTTACTTCTGGAACTTAAAAAGAAATTCCAAAAATTATATGTTCATGTAAGTGTTGGCATGGCTCGGTGTAAAATATGTACGTATGCAACGTGCAAGTTTGTGTTTGCCGCCACACCATTAATTCTTACGTTATGACCTTGCAGGCTGTTTATGAGCATCATCCTCAGCCCAAGAAGTTGATTGTGGAAAATGATCTGCCTGAAAAACTTCAAAACTTAATAGGGGAACGGAGAGATGGGCAAGTGTTGGTCAAACAGATGGCTACGTCATTACTTAAAGCACTACACATAAACACCGTTTTGTAAATTTAGATTTTAATTGTAATCTTCTTTTATGTATATTTATCGTTGTATATAACTCTCTAATATCTGGTTTGCTTATTTTTGTTTTCTATTTGGTTGAGTGGAAAAAATAGCATAGGCTGGCGTATGTCGTTTTGATTCTTGGATAATATTTTAGTGGGTGGCTGATTTTGACGGCTTTAATGGCCGAATTGTATTTTTTTTTAACTATATGTAGCTGTTTTAGTATGGACACGTGGTGAAAATTAAGGTACTACTTTCAAGAGCTACTTCTATTCAATCTAGCCTCTGATCTTTTCAAATACGTGTAATATTAAATTGGTATTGTTAAGCATCAAATGTCCTTAAAATGGTGTCTATTCATTCAATTTCTCGTGTTTTTGCGCGTATGGCTTAATTTTTTAAAAAATGATTTATTTTTCAATATTTGGATAATGTCATACCTGTTGCGTTCGTCGGCTCCCTATAAAGTATTAATCGATGTCAAATTGTTCGAAAGTTATTTTATGAACTTGGAAATTTAAAATGCAGCTGACTCGATGGTCGGGTATGTTAGGAACGCTTGCAATGTAAAAGGGATAGAAAGTTTTTTAATTAGTCAAGGTAGAACACACTACGACCCATGTAGAATGGACTACAGTAATCTGTCAAAATTTTATTTCAATCAATCGATTAATTACACACTGACCCGGCACAGATAATCATTTACAAATGGTCAGATCATCTTGGTTCGACTCCTATTGGGTGCACTAGATGCGCTTTTAGTAATATGTTCAAGATACCAATTTATTTATAAAATACTGTCACGATTCATTTTATTTCATTATACCGGGAATATAAAATGATCCTACAGGATAAACTGAACGATGTCAATAAATTTGTTAACATGATTTTGATATTTCAATCCAATAATGATGTGAGGCGCTTAACCACAAACTGAGGATCATATCAAGTCATTTTCGATAAAAATAAATAAATGATAATAATAAAATAAAATAAAAAATAATCAGTATACATCAATGACAGCATCCCATGATGAAATTTAATTATTAAACATAGCTGAAAAAAATATATATATAATTGGGGAAATTACCCCTACTGTTAAGCATAAGATAGCACATTCCCTAGACAAAATTAGAGGCTACCTACATTTCATTACAATACATTAAACTGAATTACTCTTGTATCAGCACGAAACATCCTCCTAACAACCAATTCGTATAAATAAATTTGGGAAAGCACTGCTACCGAAATGCAGAGGGCAGTGAGAAGTAATAAGCTCAAAGTCTTTTGTTTATCTATCTATCTATCAAATCAAAGAAGCATTGCATTGGTTAGTGATGAGGTCAAGTCCCAAATCCAAAAGGTGATTTTGTCCTACTACCGCCTTCTCCGTACATTTCGTTCCACTTCCTCAACTCATTCATGCTTGTTGCATCATACGCAACTGATGGACCCACCTACACATTTTCATCAAATGCATTTTTTAAAAAAATCATGTAAAACTGGTCCACAAATACAACTTGGACTTTGTAAGAACATAATTCGAAATGAACAAATAAAATATCATATATATATATATATATATACACACACACACACACATACATACCTTGGATTTTGCCTGAATAAAATCATCCACATTAAGAGGCCTTAGTACTGAAGTTGTACCCTCACTGGCTCCCTGTGCAAACCAAATGAGATACCATGTGAGGCAGCAGACAAATAAATCCAATTAAAAGTAAATTGAAGCTACAATTCTATAATTCTACCAGGTGGAAAGAGAATTCACATATGCAGAATTCATTTTGAAACCATTTGAAAATGTAGAATTCATTTTGAAAAACCATTTAATAGTACATATAGAGGTAAACAATGCTTTTATTTGTTTAAAATGGGATTCAGTAATAAATGCAAACCAACATTATATATTAGAAGCCAATAGAGACGATTAACAAAGAAAATAACCTATTACGATGGAAAATACTATTTAGTACTGAGGAAGGTGGACATCTCAAGGTACCTCTATCATCCATTAACAATTAAACCCGTTATTTAACAGCTAATGCTTACAACCATTTATTGGTCAGTTATCGTTGCTTTTCACCAAATAATTATAAATTATTTCCTCAAGATATGTATAACCATATTGATTCAGGTATTCATTTTTATATTAATAGTAACAACTAAGTTGAATTTTACACACAAGAACACTCGATACTTCAATTGCTACAAGTACATTTTTTCCCATTTTTATATCAAAAGCAGCAGAAATGTAGACGTTTAAATATAGTGGCTTCAATAGTAATTGTTTAGGTCTGAATGTTTTTATAGATAAATTAACTGTGGGAGTAGATAGTATTTAATAAATATTTTCCTGGAGTTTTTACAGCATCCAGATCTGATGAACAAAGTTGCAATGACAGGGACATATTTTATATTAGATTTTCTTTTTCTTTATTAATATTTTCCATGAATATGGAGATGTAATTACCAAATATCACCATGTGCATCAAATGTGCGTTAAGAGAATTTTAAAAAGGATAGTGTGCGAATCCCAGAAATTGCTACATAAAATGTTAGCTAGTTTCACATATTCATCAATTAAGAAAGATCAAATTTATGATATTCGTACCTTCTTTTCTTCCTCTAAGAGTTCTTGAACAGGTCTATATGCCGCAGCAATACAGAGGTTCTGCAAATATAAGCATGAAGAAGCATAAGAAACATGACTAGAGATGTTTACACATGGAATGTTAAATATTGCAGCATAAGAAAGCATGATAAATATAATGTTAGGCACAACTATGCTGGACTACAAGAGAAATGTGAGGGATGACACAGAAAATAAGGTATAGCATTCTTAGCCATCTACCTTATTTTCCCTTTGATCCCTCACACTCCTAATGTGAGATGAGACAGAAAATAAGGTAGCATTCTTAGCCGTCTACCTTACTTTCCCTTTGATCCCTCACATTCCTAATGTGGTCTAGCATAGTGGTGCCTAAAATATAGCAGTTTTGATTCAGTTGTACTTAATAATGTTTACCTTCAAATCACTGCCAGAGTATCCATCAGTCAAGTTAGCTAGTTTGTCAAACTGAAAATTTGAATCCAAATTTTCTTGTGCAAGAAAGATTCTTAAAATCTTCATTCGATTTTCAGCATCTGGTAAATCAACATATATCCTAGACAAACATGATTCAAACACAAAGCTGAGTTAGCAAAAAGGTTGTAATTTCCAGTATTTATCAAATACTTCCCTATTGTAAATGTTGACTTGAAAATATGCTCTTGATATTTTGGAGAAAACAAGTTTGAAAATAGCAAGCCAATTGATAGTCATATGCACCCAAACCAGAGACAAAGGTGAAACTTTCAAATCCAGAGGTATAGGAAGCTGGTGGGAAACTCATTTATTTCACTATTACAAGATCTAATATTTTTTGTTTTTGTTTTGCAGTCGGAGTTGTTGGTCAATTCATGCAGAATCCTCACATTGACCATTGGAATGTTGTGATTTGCATTCTCAAATATGTCAAAAAGACTGCAAGATAAGGATTGTTGTATGAGGACAAGGGAAATATTTAAAGGAGGGAATATTATCTCTAGATGAACAAGAAACAAAGTGTTGTTGCCCGGTCTAGTGAAGAAGCAAAATATAGATCTATGGCTTTGGCTACTTGTGAACTAGTGTGGATGAAGTTGATGAAGTTGAACTGTGATAATCAAGCAGCCCTTCATATTGCATCCAATCCAATGTTTCATGAGAGAACCAAACATTACGACTGATTTTGATTGTCATTTTGTTTGGGAGAAACTGTTGTTCAAGGAACTTAGTATTGAGTTTATCAGCACTAATAATCAGCTTGCAGACATTCTAACTAAGAATCTAGGATTCAATCTATATTCCAAGCTTGATACATACAATTTATATGCTCCAGCTTAAGGGGAGTGTTAAAATAGTTGTTTATTATAAGTTGTATAGCTTTATAAAGCTGCTTTTTGGCCATATCTAGCTTAAGAGTAAAGGGTCATAGGCTGTAGCCTTTTCCTTTGTATTGTACTTGTTCTGACCTTTCTCATATATATATAATGCATCAGCTGAGAGAAACTCACTGATTTTGCCATATTTTAAATCTCAAGTATATTCACCTCCAGAAAGTAGCAAGTGATGTCGCACAAACTAGACATGGATAAAAAAATATAAGACAGTATGAAAAACAGACAGAACATGGGACAGTCATAATTCAAAAATGTGATAAATGACTACAGCCATTTAGCTGATAACTTTCTAAGAGGAATCTTAAAGTTTACCTTCTTGGTAAGCGACGAATAACAGCATCATCAAGGTCAAATGGCCTGTTAGTGGCACCAAGAATAAGGATTCTTTGATTTTCTTTTGACCTTAATCCATCCCAAGCTGCCATGAACTCATTCCTCATTCTTCTAGTGGCCTCATGCTCGAAAGCACCACCTCGAGCACCAAGCAAACTGTCAACCTACAATACAAATTTTAGTCAGAAACCAAGATTCCAAGACATTATTGAGTCAGACAAACTGATAAAGCATATAGGCTTGAGGGCTCATTTTAAATGAATATTTTAATTAATTTTTTTTCTTACTTTCTAAGGCGCATTCCTGGAAAGTGGACACTAATGTTTTGGCATAAGTAAAAATAAACTAAATGGAGAAAAAAAAAAAGGTATTACATAAAGGAGAAATGATGAATTTTAAAATTCTAAAGTATACTTTTACTCTCCAGCCTTTTGGGAAGGAAAAAACCAAAAGGACAAACTGATTTTCTTGCTATGCATCGAGTGATCTTATAAATGTGACATTAAAAAGTGCCAACGTATTTTCTTTTTTCCATTTCAACTAGTCAATTCAAGAGCCCAGACTTGTCTGAAAGAAGAGACAAGGCTAGTCCTCAAAGGTTCACTCAAAGTAGTTATTGAACTTCTTAAATTGCATTTTTTTCCTGTTAAAATAACAATTTAACATACAGAACTAAAATAACAAAATATGTAAAAAAACTTGCAAATACCAATGCACAAAAAGAAATACATTTTTTTCTAGTATATGGTAAACATTTTTATAAAAAAAACTAATGACATAAGTTATGCATTCAGACACTCACTTCATCAACAAAAATAATGACAGGAGCAAGCTTGCTGGCAAACGAAAAGAGTGCTTTGGTTAGTTTTTCAGCATCTCCAAACCACTGTATAAGCAAAAAAACCAAAAAACAAATATATAAGATATCACATATGCTTCAAAGGAACTTGATTTTAGAAAAACTAGTGAATTATAGACCCACATGCTTTTACTTAATTATATTTATCTATTTTCCAATCCAGATTGAAGTATATGACTTTCGTATTCTTTTGGTGTGTTTTCCATCAAGTTCAGTATTTAAGTTTCTAACCTAGTCTTAAACGTTAGATATTTCTTCTTGATAAATCCATTTGGAAGTCCAAAACTATCTCACTCCAAACTGTTTACTAATGATCCTCCTCAGGTTTTTGGCTTGACATGTTTTGTTCATGATCTTATCCAGTCTTTATATAGTGTATGGTCGAACTATAAAGGGTAACTGATACTGTCATTGGGATGCTGTGGTTGGAATTTTAAGATCTATCAAGGGATTCCTGAAATGAGGTCTAGTGTATGCAGATAAAGGCCATTCTGGTATTGATGCCTACATAGATGCAGATTAGGCAAGTTGTCCAATGAGACAATCTACTTCTTGCTACTATGTTCTTATTGGGGGTAATCTCATTTCATGGGGAAGTAGAATGTTGTCACACGGTCCAATGCAGTGTTAGATTTCATTATTGGAGTATAGTTTTACTCCTTTATTGTTATTTTCGGTTATTATAGATATTTCAGTTATTATAGATATTTCGGTTATCATAGACCAATCTTAATTGGCTCTATATAAACCTGCCCTGTACTCTGTTTTCTGTTGGTTAATGAATTACATTCTTTTGCCTATTGTAAATCTTCTCTCATCTCTCTCTCGCTTTCTCTCTCTCTGTCTCACTCACATATAATTCCTTTATGGTATCATAGAGCTTCTTGATCCTCTTCTTCTCTCCGTTTCCGCTCGCGCAACATCTTCCTATGGCTGAATCTACCTCTACAATGAATTCTTCCCCACCACCAACGCCTCCTCCACCCATTCATGCTAACCCCGTAAACACCGTCCCTCCCAAGAATCCTCCCCCTAACTCTCATCCGTCTCTCACCTTCTCTCACCATCTCCGAAAAACTTGACACCAAGAATTATCTTCTTTGGTGTCAACAGGTTGAACCCGTCATCAAGGGTCACCGCCTTCATCATTATCTTGTCAACCCCCAGATTCCTAAGAAGTTTGCAACCCTTGCTGACCGAGATGCTGGTCGCATCTCTGAATCCTATCTTGCCTGGGAATAGCAAGACCAATTACTACTTTCTTGGTTACAATCCTCCATGTCTAAAGACATGCTTACACGAGTTATCGGTTGCAAATCCTCCTTCCAGCTTTGGGACAAAATTCACTCATACTTTCACTCCCATATGAATGCCAAAGCCCGCCAATTGCGCAATGAACTTCGCAATACAAGTCTTGAAAATCAGACAATCTCTGAATATGTGCTTCGAATTCAAACCCTAGTTGATGCCCTCAGAAAAAAAGTAATGAAGTAAATATTTTTAATCAGAAGAAAATAGTAACTAAGTAATTAGTTTCTCATGAGATATTCAATATTTGAGTAACACAATTTGGTTTTTGTCAAAATTTTGACAAACTAAAATGAAATTTAAAACTGTGAAGACAAATGTAATATGAAAAAAAGCTAAGTGACTAAATTAAACTAATAAACAAATTAGTGGACATAATGTTAATTTTATCAAATAAAAATTAAAACAAAAATATTTGTCTGTTTTCAATTAAATAAACCTCAAAAACTTGTAACACGCAATCTGAAGTTAAAAACAAATAAAATATGGCAGAAGTGGGCCGTGAGCCCGTGACGACATATGTGGGCCGTGTAAGCACTTGATTTTTCTGTAACAATTTTTGGAGGCTTCCTTGAAAACCACTTGGAGGGGTTGGGGAGAAGAGTGCTTCTATTATGATTGTGCTCTATTTGTATTTTAAGGATAACTTGAACATTGTGACAAACGGTTCATGTGAATTAGGCATGGCAACGGTGAACAGTAAGCCAATTACATGTTATGTTGGGCATCTGTGTTGGTTATTAGTCTCCCCAGGTGTAGCAAGTAAGTCAAATGAAGAATTAGAAAGAACCAATGAACAGTAAACCAATTTATGTTATGTTGTGCATTTGTGTTGGTTATTAGTCTCCCCAGGAGTAGCAAGTAAGTCAGTTGAAGAATTAGAGAGAACCAATGAACAGTAAACCAATTACATGTTATGTTGTGCATTTGTGTTGGTTATTAGTCTCCC